CAGCGTAAAATAGAGATCACATTCATTATCAGGGACACCGGCAATTATTCAACTCAGATTTACAATTGAAATATGGCGGAAAAAGTTGTAACGCCAGAAGGGCCCAAATGGTGCCGAAGTGGCGTAAATTGGAGCCGTCTGGAAAAATAAATGTCATATTCGTGATCAGAGCATTAGATATTCCTTAAAGTAGAAGTTTTAGAAAAAATTGAGATTTTGAGCCAGTTCCGAAAAATTGGCCATCGACAGGTCGGTCAGTAGCCATGGGGTACTCCAGCCAGCGATTGGAAAATGAGTTTCCTCGTAATCCTCCTCCAATAATAAGAAATTCCACTACAGAATAGATAGTGGCAGGCAGCCAAGCTGGTGATGGGAAACAGCACCCGCATGAGTTGAAGTCGACAGATTCTTCTCTCCTTCAAGACGTGATTCCTCGGCTCCTCCACTCGTAGGGCCTCATCTCCATAGCTGGAGCGATTTCAAGGACAGGGACGTGGTGGGAGATGTTCTCTATGAATCGAGCTTTGGATTCCGTGAATCATCAGGGTGTTCCGCTTGATTTCCGCGCAGCGCTCGTCTTCAAGTCGCCCGCTGGCGTGCATGACGACCTGTAGCCCATGGTCACCTTTTTCGAAGTTAGGTCAAAATCTCGATTTTTCCTCGAAATTTGCCTATAGGGGTAAATCAGGGTGCTGATCACGGATATGGCGTTCTTTTTTGGCGTCGGCGCCATTTGGCGCCAGTTTGGCGCTGCAGATTTATTCTGCCAGTTTTTGATAGTAAACCCATTTGCAGGGGCTGCTCGGTCCTGATTGTGAATATAGCGTTAAATTTGACGCTGAAGCAATTTGGCGCTTTGGAGGTGACAGTCAAAATGCAAAAGCTGTTTCTCACAGCGAAGTCTAACCAGGAAGCCCCTTCCTTCAAATTCATCACGCTATCCTCTAGACCACCAAACCACATACAAATGGAAAGATGCCGATGATGCTCATGACACTGTTTCACTTTTCCTAGCGCTACCACTTAGAATACTTCAATTTTGGGCACACCTTCTATCCGAAACCATCTTTATCAACACCCTTCAATATGCAGGTGAAAATGAATGATGGTATTGTGGTTATACATGGTTCCTACAATATGTAAGAAACCGTTTTGAAAAAGCGCGGAATGCCCTGAAAGACCTTCTTTGTAAGCAGTCAAGGATCGCGGATGGCTCTGAGTGTGTGCTGAGTATAATTATCAGGGTGCCGGATGAATCTTCAATGCATAAGGAGAACGACCAAGTTATCGTGCGATTTCTAGATTGGAACGTTCATTATCATGCAGAACCTTGATCTGAGCTTGCTCATCTTCAGGAAGAAGTATGGCGCGAATTGACATGATGACGAAATGAAAACAGCAAAGTCGGATTGAAATCGGTGGAAATTCGGCGCCAAAATCTGATCTTCTTCAAGTGTGCACATACTTTTGAAACAAAGAAAAAATTCATCCAAATTTTTTTCCGAAAGTGAGGCGATATTATCTGCTTTGCTTCCATTGATAGGTTATCGACTACGAGAAATCGATTGAGAAGGATTTCATAGCACAAAGCCTCTTGGTTCACCTTTCTAAATGTGGAATTTGGGGTGTCCACATAGTTCTGAAACCCACTCTGTACTGTTAAATTCTCCTTTAGAGCGTGGATGGTACCAGCGTACAATAGCTTTGCGAATGTTGAGGAATAACACGCGATCCGTGATGAAGGATTACAAAGAGGGTGTAGTCTACTTCGGCGATGACGACAACTCATATGACACACGATTATTCACTGACTACATAAGAAATGTTAAAAAGATTGGAATGTGGGCCGTGGGTTAGCGTTTGCTTTCTGAAATATAGAAACAGTTGCTTTAATGCATTGTCTTGCAGGACTATCCGGAGGAAGCCTCGTAGAGTCCCCGAGAGTTGTGAACAACACTGTGGTCGGGTACAAAGTAAAATGGGGTACGAAACGAAAATTTGCAGTTGACATGGCAGGATTTGCAATCAATCTTAACATCGTGCTGAAGTATGTTACATCTAGAGAGTTTTCGAAAGCCTTTCTCTGAATTAATGACCAATTTGACAGTTTCAGTACAACCGCTGTTTTTGGAAAATCATGCCAAAGTGGGTTTGGAGCTCCAGAACCGTGTCTGCTAGAAGATATGGGTTTTTCTCAAAGCGATATCGAGCCGTTTGGACTAGATGAAGATGCAGCTGTACGTTTGCTCTCATTTGGAGAGCTTTCGTGGAGTTTTCCAATAAGAATATTCTCTAAATTCTGCACTGAAAATTCTGGTACAAACTAAATTTTGATGAGAGCGAACCAGTAACTTATAATACAAAAGGCTAAATGTTGACAAAATTATTTTTAATTTCCAGAAACTCTTATAAAGAACAAGGGTGGACCGGTAATTGTTCAGTTCCAGCTAATCTCTATTTAATTTACTTCCTGGTTACCTCTATTTGTTCTCCCCTGGTTCTTGGGGGAGTGCGCCTCGTACCCGGTGTTTTCTCGGAGTGCCCTAGTGGTGCTCGGTTAGTGAAGGCCTACCTACGCTGGCCGAGAGGGAGCTGAGTACAGCTCAAGTCGAGGAGCCTGTGTGGCTAAACTGTAGAGCCTTAGTGGCTGAATTGGGGAGCCTCAGTGGCTCTGGGAGATAGGAGCCTGTGTGGCTCGGTTAGCGCCTGACTGGCGAGTATTGGGGACTTTTTGTCCTGAGGTTAAGTTCCGGAGAGGTTGCGCACGCGCACCCTACCGTGCCCGCTCATTTGGTCGCCGTCGACTTCAACCCGCCTCCGCTACCCCGTTTCATTCGTCGTCGTTGTTTACAAATTTTTGTTGTTGGTTAATTTGTTGTCAATAAAATTTCCGCGAATCCTTCTCTCACAGTTCTTCACACTCTCACAAGTCGAAGTCTAGTCCCGGCCTACGACGGTCCGGGTCATTACACTTT